AGATAAGGTCTCTCACTGAATCTGGAGCTCCACAGTTGGTCTGGCTGTCTGGCCAGCAAGCCCCAGTGATCTCTGATCTCTGCTGCCACAGCCCGTAGTTACAGGCTCCTGTGACCATACCCAGCCTTTTACATGAGCGCTGGAAATCCAAACTCAGGTCCTTACACTTGCACACACACTTCAGTGAACACACCACCTCCCCAGCCCCCAGATAAAGAGTCTTTGGATATCCACTGTACACTACAGGCACTCAGGGTGATGCTTGGTAGGTCTCGGGAACTTGGGTTTGGTGGGTAGAGCAGGCTCTCCATACAGCAGAACCCACAGGAGATTAGTAAATAGGGAGGGTCCTAAGAAGTCAGAAGTCTGTGGGAGGCATGACGTAATATTCTTTTCTTTCCACAGATGACTTTGAGTCCAAGTACTCCTTCCACCCAGTAGAGGACTTCCCTGCTCCAGAAGAGTATAAGCATCTTCAAAGAGTGTACCCCAGCAAAACAAACCGAGGTGCGAGGGAGTGAGGGAGCCACGATTGTGTGCAACGTAGAGTGTGTGTGTTCTCTGGGGTCAGAATGTGCTTCTGCACAGTAGAGGTCAGCAGGAGTTGGTTTTCTCCTTCACCAAGTGATCCTGGGGTTCAGCTCCGGCCAGCAGGCTTGGCAGCAAGTATCTACCTATCAGGCATCTCTTCAGCCTTAGTCCTTGATGTTAAAAGTGGACTGAAGAGCCTGTCTCATGTCAGAAATGTTATTTAGGGCCTGGTATGTGACTGAATATCTGTGGTTTTTGTCTCCCCAGCTGCCCGTGGAGCCCCACCTCTGCCACCCGTTCTCAGGTGAAGCCTGGCTTGGTCCTGCTCCTCAGGAAAAGGATGGACCTCCTCTTCTCAGATGGTCCCCCAGCCCCTAAACCTGCATGAGAGCTCCTCCAGTGTTTCTCCAGTGCAACCAGCCCTAGACTCGAGCATCCTCCCGGCCCAGCTCCATCTATGCATCTTCTCTCTGGACCTGCTGATGGGATTCTTTCTGTTGGCTACAGGGTCTCAGGCCCTGTGCCCAGCCCTCTTCCAGCAAGCCCTGCTGGCCAGAAGAGGGGAAAGCGTCCATGTCTCCTGCTTTCTTCCAGGGAAAGGTGCCTTGTTACGGTGAATGGACTCCCGTTGGCGGGGTGGAAATGGTACCCGGCTGTTGTTACTCACCAAGGGGGAGGATGGTGTGTGCACTAAATTCCATAGTTTAGGAGGTTGGTATGGCCAGGACTGCTGAGGAAAGGGTACTTTTCGTGACGCAGGAAAGGGGTTTGCAGAGAAGTGATCTGTTTTAAAGGTCAGGTTACAGAAAGGACAAGGAAAAGGATCTTCTTTATTTTTAAGAGTGTTTTGGTTTTGTTCTCATCCCTCTTCTCCCCTGGGGATCTCAAGGGGTAAGTTGTACATACACTAAATACTAATCACTTGATCTAAACAATAAAAGAAGGGGATGAAGTAAACTGAGAATCATTCCAGAGCTAGTCAGCTCTTCTGCAGCTAAGGGGCCAGGGCCATCTGAACTCCCTGGGACCCCCTGCCCTTCCCTGGGGTGCTAGGCTGAAGGATGTCCTTTCCCAGTCCCTCAAGACAAGAGCCACTTTTTGTTGGGTCCATTATTCATATTCCCAGTTCACAACCCCCAGAAACTTCCTGTAAGAGATGAGAAGAGGGAGTGAGGACCTTAACCTCAGCTTCGAGTTGGCCTCAGTTTCTTCTGATTAGCCCTGAAGTGGTCAGCAGCCCTCAGAGCCCTTCGGGCCTCGGAGAATGCTCCAGGGAGACCAAGGAAGGAGCTCTGGAGGCTCATATCCACCTCACACCCATCCGACACAGCAGCTCCTCCCTGTTTTCTCTGCCACCCTACCTTCCCAAGGCTGTGGGGACTAAGACCACAGAGTAGACAATGGCAGGAAACACGTGGGGCCTTTGAGGGCATATCCAGAGTCTTCTAAACCAAGAAGCACAGAGACTTAGGGAGGTGTGCCTCAGTCCAGTCAGTGGGTCTTTCTTGGTGGCCAGCAATACATTGTTTCTTTGTCTTCCAAGTTGTAGGTGAACAGCACAGGAAAAATGGATGTTCCAACTGAGGTTGGTCTATTGGATAGTGAGTGTCTCTTCTCCAATAGCAGTGTGGGGCACGGGGACTCCACACACTGGAGAAGTTGGTTTCTTACAGTCGTAGCCATGGGCAAAGGCTGCTCAAACCTTGCAAGACCGTGGGGGAGACCAGGATGTTCTTTGAATCGAATAGGGGAAGCTAGTTAAAAACCTTCAGACACTTCACAGGGTTAAACTGTCACAGGGACCTTTCTTTTCTTTATCATTATCATTATTATTATTATTATTTTCTAAGGCACGGTTTCTCTGTGTAGCCCTGGCTGTCCTGGAACTTGCTCTGTAGACCAGGCTGGCCTCAAACTCAGAGATCCACCTGCCTCTGCCTCCTGGGTGCTGGAATTAGTGTCGTACACTACCGCACCCTGCTCATAGGGACTTTTCTAATTTAGTGGAACATAGGCTAAGGATCTGTGCATAATGCCAGGTGAAACCCAAATCTTCCAGTGCTGGTGAAGGTGGGCTTAACTTGGTTTATTTATTTATTGGGTGTCTCCTGGACCACTTGGACTCTTCAGACAGGCATTGATTAGATCTCACCAGATTTTAATTGTTCACTATTTATGTTCTTCTCAAATACGTTAGCAGTCACCTCCCAGGAATATCCCTAGCATCCTAAAGTGAACAGAGCTAAGAGGAGAAGAGCTGATCCTGCAAGAGTTCCAGGGAGATGCTAATTACTGAACTTTGACTGTGAAGTCCTTCCCATTTGTGTTTGAAATGGGAGTTGATGCCTTTTGTACAATGTTATCAAAGTGTATAGAGATTTCCCTACTGAAACATAGAACATCAGAATATATAATATAGCAAATAAAGCCAAATCTCAGCTTTTTACTGGGGCTGATCCCTTCCTCCACATGAACTGCATCCTTTATATTCCCCAAATTTGGTCTGTGTCATGTGGGTATTGATTATATTTTCATTGTCTTTGCCCAATGGAACAACAACCAAAAAAAAAGGCCTGGGATTAGATCTGAATAAATGGGTTTGCTGCTCTAGAGCATGTTGATGATACAGCACCTAACTTAAATGTCTTTGCCTTATACATCATTTGGTCCCACTGTTAATAACAGATTTATTATCATGTATATTTGCTATTGAAGATGGGAATGTGATCCTCAAAATTGTTGGTCTATTTTGTATGTTGTACAAAGCTTGTAATACAGGTTTACGGTGGGTGGGCTGCAAGAGCCCTGAAAATTTTCCCCTTTTGAACTGCTTTTTTATCTGCTTGCTCATGGGAATGTTGTCTCTTCGGTGGAAGATGGGTGGTCTCACGTTGAGGCTATTGCCTGTCCCTTTAATTCCCTTGTCCCCTCCCGAAGGGAAGAGACATTGCCCAGCTAAGCAGCAGGAAGCTTTGTCAACAGCTCTCCTGAGTTTTGTGGTGTTTTTCCCTAACAGGAAACACTCGGTAACTGTTTCTCACTGCCCTACCTGGAGCTGGGCAGTGGCCTCTGCTTTTCAAATGAGCTAGATGCCCCTCTTTCCTTTCTCCAGTCACCAAACCTGGACCAAAGCACTTCCATATTCCAGGTGTGGTTTCTCTCCTGGGGACTGGCTGCAGCTGCAGAGCCCTACCATTTTCACAGCCTAGGCTCCTTGTGTGAGCAGCCAGGGCTATCCCAGCTGATGGATGGGAGGCTGTCATCGGCAGGAGTGCGTCCCTGCCCGCTTTCCTAGTAAAGGCAAGGAAACTAGTCACTGGCATTGCACTAGGGGGTCCCCTTACCAGTGGCTTCCCAGCTTGAAACCCAGACTTACCTCCAGGGAGAGGTGAGGGGAAAAAATAACTGTAAATAGATTTGCTACAGAGCAACTCAGGGTTGGGCGTGTTTTAATTCTCCTGGTCACTTGAAATAATCTGTAGGCTGAGTGCTTCTGGGAGTGTGGGAGAAATGTGACGCCAGGGTCCTTGGTTCTGTGACGCTGTGGCAGTGGAGTGTAGGGCACCAGAGGCCCTTCGACGGCACTCTGCTGCGTTGTCTGTCCTTCTGGAACCCCAAACCTACAATCAGCTGCGAAACCGTCTTCCCATTCCAGGTGTAACTGTTCTTTCCCTGTGACTCTCAGTCCCTAGCTATGTGGTCCAGGTGACTCTGTTAAGCCACCCAAACTTAGGGAAGAGGGGGGCCATTGTAATTCTGCCTTCAAGACTCATTTCTTGAAAATAAAATGATAACCACCTTCAAAATCACATGCAGAAACAAACACAAAAAACCCAGCCACCATTAACTGAAGGAAGGGTTCGGCTCCACCCAACTCCACGTTCATTGTGCCTTTACCTGTGTTGGAGTTCTGTGCTTTCCTCCCCCTCTGTGAAGTAATTAAAACCTTCCTTGATAACTGCCGTTTCCTTTCTGCTCCTGTTCTTACAGCTCGGCGGCGGCAGCTCTCTTCTCAGACTGTCCTGTCTTACTCCCTGGTGGCAGAGGGGCTCTAGTGACCCCCCTTTTCCTGTCTGCCTTTGGTCCTTTCCCACAGTTCCCAGACTGGAAGTTACAGTCCACACTGAATAAAAGACCAGAGCGGTGTGTGTGCATGTGCGCGTGTGTCCATCATCTGCATGTGGATCAGTTTCTTTAAAAAGTAATTTATTGTGTGATTTATTTTGGAGTTTTTATTCTGGTTTCAGTGCTTCTCCACAATAGCACGGATCCCTACACCCTTCATCCCCCGACATAAAATGTATAATCTGGTCTCAGGTTGAATTCCTTGGTACATTTCTTTCTTCTGGATGCTGTGCAGTTTAATTAAACCTTAAAAACAAACAAACAAAAAGAAAAAGAAAAGAAAACTGTGTATTTTTGTCATGAGTAATACTGGCTCAAGTGATGGCAAGGAGAGGGGAGGAAGCCACTCCTCTCTTCTGGGTAAGCGTGGCAGTTTGATTTCAGGTCCCCAAGGAAGGACATGTGTGGGTGTGCATGGCAGAAGCCCTGGCGGCTCTCCGAGGGCTTTCTCTGCCTAGCTGTCTTAAAAATCACTGTTTGGCCTCGCTGAGCAGTGATTCTGTTTTGTATTTGTTAACTTGATCTCAAGGAGCCCAGAGGCTCCCTTCTTGGTGTTTCTTCCTTGTGGCCCCTGCGCCTTGAGGCTGAGTCTCAACTAGATGGTGGGAGAAAAGGTATGTGGGGGGGGGGGCAGCTTTGGGATATGGAGAATCCATTTGTATGTGGATGCTGTCTAGTTCTCTTCACTGCTTTGGTTGGTTGGTTTTTCCAGACAGGGTTTCTCTGTGTAGCCCTGGCTATCCTGGAACTCAAGAGATCCTCCTGCCTCTGCCTCCCAGATTGCTGGGATTAAACGCATGTGCCACCACCCCTTGGCTACCATTTTCAAGTTTAGAAATAGTGATTATTGAGTGTGTCTTTTGTTTTTTGTTGTTGTTTTTGTTTTCCCAGACAAGGTTTCTCTGTGTAGCCCTGGTTATCCTGAAACTCAATTTATAGACCACGTTGGCCTCGAACTCGCAGAGATCCACCTGTCTCTGCCTCCCTGAGGGCTGGGATCAAAGTTATATAACACCACATCTTCACTGGTTTTCTTGAACTTTGACTTTAGGTGTTAAAATTCAACCAGGCTTCTTTGTTATTGTGGTCAGCTGACAGGAACCAGGAGTCCACTGGGCTTAACTTGCACTTTCACGGCTAGCAGAGTGCAAGTTCCGCCCTACGGACTTATAATGGGTGGTGTGTGGACCAAGTTCACATAGTCTAGATAGAACAACCTGTGGGGGAGGGTTAACATTCAGCCATCAGAGTGGCTGGATTCATGATTATTTGACCCATCATTGTTATTAATATGATTAATAAACTATTTATTGATTTCATTGTTCTTCCTAACTTAATAGCCTGCGTGTGGAACTTGCTTAAATGACCCTCAGCTTCCCAACCCTGTAAGTTCTCTCACTGGGACAGGATTGCTGGTCTGTGTGTGTACCCTTACACACACTCAGAAAGATGCCAGACAGGTCTTTCCAGTGTGCTGTGATTCCTGCTCCATGACACTGAGTTAGGTGATAAGAACATTAGATTGCTCACTGATGATTACTGAGGCCCAGCTGTGCATGCTGGGAATGTGCCTTTTAAGTATTTCCTGGCCTAGACCATGAACTGCAACACGCAGGAAGGAAGCTGCCTTTTTCTAGCTTCCCAATACTCTGTCAGTAGTAAGACGATTAAAATGTCAACCTCAGGATCCTGACCACTCCAGAGAATATAAGGGTTTCACCTTTGACACCACTGACGCCCAGTCTGAGCTGTTTTTACACATAATTAAATTTATTCTGCTAGGTTTATGGCTATGAGGTTTAAAGGACTATATATGCAGTCCATCCATAAAAATTCATGCAAATAGTGGGCATCAGCTTGACATAATGCCCTTTTCATCCCTTCATTTGGCAAGTGTTTATCGTGTACTTCATCGTAGAAGTCCACACAGGAGGCTAATCAAGACATGGTCTTTGCCTTCAAATCCCATAGTCTAGTAGATTATGATCATCAAAAGGAACCTATGCAGGGTATTGCAAGACTTTCATAGGCGTTGACCAGGAAGGAGAGAAACACATTCTCGCCAGGAAACAGTGGGTACAAAGGTAGTGAAATGAGGAACTGACGTGCGTGTGAGGTTACTGGAGGAAAAGCTCCAGGGGATAACCTTTTCCAGTTCAGCCCTGACATTCTGCTTTCACAGTGGTCTTTTTCTGTTGCAGACTTTTCCTGAGCTGGTACCTTTTTGTTTTGAAGCCGGTGAGTGCTTTCTTAGGCTGTGGTGTGCACATTAAGCACTTACAGTTTCCCTGCTCTCTGCCCTGTAACCATTCTTTCCAAAGCTTACTCACATTTCTATTTCAGATTGTCAGGGTAATAGGGTTTAGGTCCTCAGAGACCTAAAGGTCTCTCTGAGACGTAGAGGTGGTCTTCAACTCCATTGTCCTGGTAAGTGAGAAACACCGAATGATCTGAAAGCCTCCTTTCCTTGGTATTTCCCCATTGATGGCAGCTTGTTTTCTTTTGGAGTTCTTAGCCGTTAGGAAGCCTTAACAAAATGTACCCCTTCAATATCTTGTCCTGTTTAGAACCCACCCCTCTAATCCTCCATGATGAAGTAGTCAAGAGCTTGGTCTTCTGTCATTAGAGTTCAAATACCAGCTCTTCCACTTTCTAGTTGTCTGACATGGGGCCAATTTTCTCAGTCCCTCTGCCTCAGTTTCCCTCAACTTCCTAGGGTGCTTGGAAAGACTGATAAAGGTGATACAGGTAAAATACTGAACTCAGCCGCTACACACTTAAGGATTCATACTGGCTTGTGGTAAGAGGTGGTAACCATTTGAAATGAACTATTTTGAGTTAACCAATGATTGTGATATTGCTTTCCTATTCCTAGTGTTATGTCTATTTTATTTGATAGGGGAGGATGAAAGATGTATTTTACAGCCGGTGTGGTGGTCCCACTCCTTGGATGCCAGCACGTGGGAGGCAGATGCAGGCGGATCTCTGAGTTCAAGGACAACCTGGTCTACACAGAAAGCCTGTCTCGAAACAAACAAACATAAAATTTACCATTTCCTAGAATTGGGTTCTGTCCTTTAAAGGAACCTGAGGTGGATTTTCAACCTTGGAACCTGCCCTGCAAATGGCTGCTCTAATTCATATTTTTCATTAAATGCTCAGCTTGCCTCGCCTATAACTGTCTTCCCTGGACCCGAAACCCTAGTGTTTGGCCATAAATGATATTCAAGGGATATAATTCTATTCCTTACAAAGTGTAGATAGATTAATGTCAAGGCACACGGAATATATTACCTTGACTAAAACAAAATTGTAATATTTAGTATTGGTCTTGTTTCTCACTTTTGAAGTGCAAGTCAACAAATACCCAGATGATGTCAGTTTGTTTATACAGGTATAGAACTTGACCTAAAAAAGCCCTGGTTCAAGTTATCAGCCCTTCACCACCGTCATGCCCTACAGGACCACTCCCAAACTAGTAAGCCTTGTGTGGTAGCCCTCATAATGAAAATAGGTACGCCAGGCGGTGGTGGCGCACACCTTTGATCCTAGCACTTGAGAGGCAGTGGCAGGCCAGCCTGGGCGGTTACACGGAGAAAAACTGTCTCAAAAAAGAAAAAAAAAACAGGTATGTTTGGCAGAGAGAAAGGACAAAGATACCCCAGTAGAAATAAATTAAAAAAAAAAATTTTAAAAGGAAGTAGACTTGCGTGGGGACAAAAACTACACTTCCCGCCAGGCCTTGCGGCGCGGCGTGCTCACCTAATGAGTCGCAAGCGCGCCTTTCCCGCGGCGGTCTCAGATGTGAACGCCCCGCCCCCGTGGGTGGGCGTGGCCTCATGCTGGGCTCTGAGACCTGGGGCTGTCTTATTGGCTGTAGGTCATCGCCGGCGGAGGCGTGGTGATTAGCGACAACGAATCAGAAGCGTGGCTGGACTTTGGCGCGAGACGGGAACGCTGTGGCAGGGCCGATTTGGCGCGAGCTGAGATCGCTTCAGCTGAGCACCTTGTGGCGGGAGATCCCGTGCGCTTGTGATCGAAACGCAGGAACGTGCAGTGAGGCGACACAGCCTTGAAGAGTGTAAAGCAGCAGATTGCTCCGTGAGGCCCGAGAGTCGGCCCGGGCCCCAAAGAGTTGGTGGAACTGGTTCGAGCGTGGCCTGTGGAGAGCGGAGATCGCCTGAGGTCTGAGGCTGGGTCAGGGAGGGGGTTGTGCGCCTGCAAAGCCATTCGAGCCCGGGGTGGTGGGAAGGAGCTGGGAGCTGCTGGGAGGAAACGGTGTAGGGTGGGGTTGAGAGCGGTGTGGAGCGCTGGCGAGTCCTGGGCAGAGGAGGATGGAGCCGCACTGCCTGGATTTGGGAGAGCCTAAATGTTACGGTCTGGAATTAAGCTAGTGCTAAAGATGTCTCCTGTGTCTGGAGTGAAGGAGCTAGAAGTATTCTAGAAACCGCAGGAGATAAACTGGCATTGCTCAAGTGTAAGAACTTGGGTTCTGGGTTCAGGATGCTTGGGGTGATAACCATGTTTTTCTATGACTCTCTAAGAGAGGGATAATAGTTTCTACATCTGGGTTATGGTAAGACTGAAGTGTGTGTAATATGTGCGTAACAGTATGCTACACATACTAGGTAGACAGATGTTACCTCTTATTTACATAGCGTTGGTCACCAATATAAATAAACTCCGTATGTTTTTCTTTTTGCTTTCGTAAATTCCAGGCTTCCTGGCTTTTTTTTTTTACCCAGTTGAGTGGTCATCATGCCTCAAACCCGATCCCAGGCACAAGCTACCATCAGTTTTCCGAAAAAGAAGCTGTCTAAGACACTGAGCAGCAAAACGAATTCCCCCAGAGACAGTAAAGTAAAACTTAAAGACGCCCGGGCTGAACCTTCTACTCCACGCGCAAACGGGAAAATTCTGCCTCTCAGTCCCAGAAAACGTCTGGGTAAGTCTTCCCCTCTGTGAGCACAGCTGTGTGACTAATAGCCCTCAGGCCGGCCTTTTCTTGATGCCGAGATGCCTGGCAGGCAGTTAAAACCGTGGCTGTATCTGTATTTTCATAATGGCTGCTAGGTATGTACTGAACTCCACAGTTAAGCCGTTCACTAAGAGAGATCATTTTCTGAGGGACTTGCTAGGTTTGATCTTCATTTCTTAGTTCTGTCCTTTAAAATTACCTTAAAGTTACATATGGTATTATGAAATTTGCCTACATATTCGTAAAAATAAGAAACAAATGGGTGACATTCTTATTTTATTTTTGTTTTAAAATAGTACTTAACATTTTCACTGTTCTGTTTGTTTTTTGGAGAAAAAATTTCTCTAACTCAGGCTGGCCTGGAACTCACTTTGTAGCTCAGGATTGCCTCAAACTTGAGATCTTTCTTCCACTACCATACATTTTTGTTTGGTTGGTTTTGGTTTTTGGGTTTGTGTTGTGTTTGGTTTTTTTTGTTTTTTTTTTTTGAGACAGGGTTTCTCTGTGTAGTTTTGGTGCCTGTCCTGGATCTCGCTCTGTAGACCAGGCTGGCCTTGAACTCACAGAGATCCGGCTGGCTCTGCCTCCCGAGTGCTGGGATTAAAGGCGTGTGCCACCACCGCCCGGCTTGGGTGTTTTGTTTTGTTTTGTTTTTTTGAGCTGAGAATCAAACCCAGGGCCTTGTGCTTGCTAGGCAAGCGCTCTACCACTGAGCTAAATCCCCAACCCTTGGTTTTGGTTTTTTTAAGACAGGGGTTTCTCTGTGTTGCTCTGGCTGTCCTGGAACTTGCTATGTATGTACACCAGGCTGGTCTCAAACTCAGAGTTCCTCCTGCCTCTGCTTCTTGAGTGCTGGGATTAAAGATGTGCGCCATCACTGCCAGGCCATACTTGGCTTGTGTGTGTTGATGATGATGCTGGTTGTTGTGGACTGAGCACAAGACCTTGTTCTTCCTAAGAAGTGCTGTACCACTTAGCTATACATGCCCAGTCTTTTAGTCTGTTACAATTGAGGGGATGGTATTGGAACCATGTGTAAACGCTAACAATGCTGCTGGACACGACAGTGCACACAGCAGCTGCCTACAGAGGAAAGTTACTCATTCCAAGATGTCAGTGGCGTCGAGATTGATAAGTCTTTTTTTTTTTTTTTTTTTTAAAGTTTTTCAAGACAAGATTTCTCTGTAACAGCTCTCCTGAGTGCTGGGATTAAAGGCGTATGCCACCACCAGCTGGTGTGAAATCCTATTTTAAAACAACCTTACAGTTTCACCTCACTAGAACTCATTTGGTTTCTACCAAATGATAAGATTCAGTGGTGCCATCTGGTGGCCATATTTGCTCCTTAGTGAGAAGTGTCTTTTGTGGTTCTGACTAAGGTGAAATTCACCCTGGCTTTTAGTCCCAGAATTTGGGAGGCAGAGGCAGGCAGATCTTTGAGTTCAAGGCCAACCTGGTCTACAGAGCTAGTTCCAGGACAACCAGGGCTACACAGGGAAACCTAGTCTTGAAAAACTGGGAAAAAGAAAGAAAGGAAGAAAGAAAGAAATTCTGCTCTTTCTGGGTGTGGGAAAGCCTTCGCACTTCCTTTTTCCGTCCTCCACTGTGAAGGGCCACGTTCTGCGTTTAGTGTTTTGGGTGCTGGACGGCGTTGCTGCGACTGACCTGTTCTGTTTTGTCGGTTCAGGTGATGACAACCTGTGCAACGCTCCTCATTTGTCTTCCTGTTCCCCACCGAAGCTGGGCAAGAAAGAAAACGGCCCACCTCACTCACATACTCGGAAGGGATGCAGATTAGTATTCGATGATGAGCCGATGGTTAAGTCTTCAAACCAAAAAGAACAAGACCGAGTTCACCAAAACCAGATACTTCCCTCGGCTCAAAAAGGTCAAGAAAGTGAAACAAATTCTGAGCAGAAATGTCCGCCGGGGAAGGAATCTGCTCGTATGAGACTGTTCAAACAAGAAGGTGGGCTCTTACATGGCAGCTGTCGGTGAAACCCAGGGAGTCTTCTCAGTCACCTTCTGTTGGGTCCTAACTGCCCTTTTTTGTCTGGCACAGGAACTTGCTATCAGCAAGCAAAGCTTGTCCTGAACACAGCTGTCCCAGACCGGCTGCCTGCCAGAGAAAAGGAGATGGACGTCATCAGGGCCTTCCTGAAGGAGCACATCTGTGGGAAAAAAGCGGGAAGTCTCTACCTCTCTGGTGCTCCTGGGACCGGAAAAACTGCCTGCTTGAGTCGGATTCTGCAAGACCTCAGGGTACGCCGAGGGTCTGAGTGACAGATGCTCTTGCTGAAAAGATTTGACTCTTAAGGGTTAAGGAAGAATAGACTGTTGTGTGATAGAATGCTTCCCAGAAGTAAGAATTCTTGTTATTTCAGGGTATAAATCTTTCCAAAAGAAAGCAGAGCTTCGCTCTTGTATTCCCTTAGCTCTCAGAGACCAGATCAGCTTTCAGTAAATCTTTGTCTGAAGCCAACATAACGCCCATGTTTGCATCTTTTTTTTCATACCTAGAAGGAAGTGAAAGGCTTTAAACCGATCCTGCTGAATTGCATGTCTTTGAGGAGTGCCCAGGCTGTGTTCCCAGCTATTGCTCAGGAGATTGGTCGGGAGGAAATATGCAGACCAGCTGGGAAGGACTTGATGAGAAAATTGGAAAAGCATATGACTGCTGAGAAGGGCCCCATGATGTAAGTATTTCTCCACTGCGTGTTGCTCAGTAAAAATCCTCAAGATGTTACCCACAAAAAGAACTTGCCCTGAAAAGAACTTTGCTCTGAGAAGTATGTACATATGCTTGAAGAAAAAAAGATAATGTACTTTCTAATTTTGAAAACATTGTACTAACCTATTTATTGATGGTACTGGGACTCAAAGCCAGGGCCCTGTGTGTGTGTCAGATAACTGGGTTTTTTTTTTGTTTTTTTTTTTTTTTTTTTTTTTAAGATTTATTATGTATACAACATTCTTCCTCAATATATCCATGTATGCCAGAAGAGGGCACCAGATCTCATTATAGATGGCTGTGAGCCACCCTGTGGTGCTGGGAATTGAACTCAGGACCTCTGGAAGAGCAGTCAATGCTCTTAATCTCTGAGCCATCTCTCCAGCCCGATAACTTTTTTTAAGCAAGTCCTTTGAAAACACTTGGATGACACTTGTTAGTAATGGGGATGCTAGTCTAACCCTGGCTAATGGCAAGACGAGCTATGGTCTGCAAGCTGAGCTCAGCTTTCTGGCTGTAACCTAAGGTGAGCTCAGATCAAGCATGGGAAGCCGGAAAATGTGATTGGTACTAATTGTTTCTCTTTGTACGTAGTGTGTTGGTGTTGGACGAGATGGATCAGCTGGACAGCAAAGGGCAGGATGTTTTATACACACTGTTTGAATGGCCGTGGCTGAGCAATTCCCGATTGGTGCTCATTGGTTAGTGCTCAGTTGTTACTGTCACATGGTGAATTTGAAATTTTGTTAATCGTTTAAAATCTGTTCAACTTGTGTGTGTGTGTGTGTGTGTGTGTGTGTGTGTGTGTGTGTAGAGGCCAGAGGTTGATGTCATCATCTTCTTCCACTGTTTTGTTTTTGTTTTTGTTTGATTGATTGATTTAATGTATATGCTGCTCTATCCAGAAGAGGGCATCAGGCATCAGATCCCACTAGAGATGATTGTGAGCCACCATGTGGTTGATGGGAATTGAACTCAGGACCTCTGGAAGAGCTGCTGTCGGTTTTTTATTTGCTGAGGAGGGGTCTCTTGCTGAACCTGCAGCTCGCTGATTCAGTTAGTCCAGCTAGCCAGCTTGCTCCCAGGGATCTCATGTCGGCCTCCTGAGTGCTGGACTTGCAGGCGGCCCCCCTGCCTTCCTGGCTTTGACACGACTCCTCAGGCTTGCATGGCCGGTGCTTTGTCCACGGAACCCCCCCCACTCCCCAGTCGCTATGCCTCAAGTTACTTACCTACTACTTCATTTTTATTGTATGTGTGTGGGTATTTTGCCTGCATGCAGGTCTGTGCGACACTTGTATACCCGATACCCATGGAGGCCAGAAGTGGGTGTCTATTTCCCTAAACTGGAGTTACAAATGTTGTGAGCAGCCATGTGGGTGCTGGGAGTTGGACCTGCGTCCTCTGGAAGAGCATCCAGTGCTCTTAACAGCTGAGCCATTTATTCAGCCCCGCCTGTTATTTTATACTTAAGCCAGCTTTTTGTCTTATAGAAATAAGAAAATTTACTATGATAGTAATTTTAATACAAGGCCGATTGATTTTGTGAGGTCTGAATAAGAATGACAAAGCAGACACCACATTGCATCCCTGTGGTCCTAGTTATTTGGGAGGATGAGTGCACCACGCCGCCGCCAGGCTTTCTGGTTTTGTTCTTGAGGCAAGGTCTCACTGCAGCCCTGGCTGGCCTGGAATTCAACAGAAATCTGCCTGCCCATCCTCATTTCTCACTCCCTTCTTCCTGGAGACAAGGTCTATATAGCTCAGGGCGGTCTTAAGCCCGCCATCCTCCTGCCTCACTCTCCCATGTGTTAAGACTATAAGCATGCTTCCCCATTCCTGCCTAAGCACTGTATCTTCCCTAGTAGGTCCAGCTTAACCTTTTAGTGTGAGGTGGAGAGCAAGTGGGAGCAGCGGGGGTTGAAATACTGGGGTGACTGGGAATTTATCCTTCCAAGGGTTTAATTTCCTTGTAGCGTGATTTGTCTGCTGATTGTTATTTCTCTCCTCAGGTATCGCTAATACCCTAGATCTCACAGACAGGATTCTGCCAAGACTTGAAGCTAGAGAAAACTGTAAGCCGCAGCTGTTGAACTTCCCCCCTTACACCAGAAATCAGATAGCTACGATCTTGCAGGATAGACTCAGTCAGGTGAGTGCCGACCGTTATGCCAAATTCTGTGGCAGGGATAATCTCTGTGGTGGAAAGCTAACAATAGGTTTGAAATTTTGATTTGATGGCTTTATTAACGGTGTGGCAAGCTCCCATGGACCATAATGAGTGAGAACATTTTTACGTGAATATCTACACGTGGTTTCGTTTATTGGCTGCTTCCCTGTTGAAATAAAAGTAGGAATTAGAGGATTCGTGCTTCCTTAATGGCCTTTAAAAAGTAGGACCTGGGCCAGTGAGGTGGCCCAGAAGGTAAAGGCACTGGCTGCCAGTTCTCATGACCTGAGTTCCATCTCTGAGACCCCCATGGTGGGAGGAAGACCTAGCTCCTGGAAGGTGTCCGCTGAGCTCCACAGGTTTGGCACACTTGCTCTGCCCCACCCCTACTCTTAAAAATAGACAAACGGAATAACATTTTAAAGATAGGGCCTATGAGCCTGGTGTGGTGGTGCACACCTTTTATCCCGGTACTTGGAAAGCAGAGGCAGACAGTGCTCAGTGTTGGAAGCCAGCCAGGGCTACATAGAGAGATCTTGTCTCAAAAAACAAGAGAGCCTATGGGAAAACATTTGTAGTTTCAGTTGCTTTTTTATTCTCTTCAGGAACCTCTACATATTCCTAGAAAATTCTTAAATATATGCAGTATATGTCCCTTACACCTAAAGGCGGTCAATCAGGTTTAGATCTTGTGATACTTCCAGGCCCAGAGTTAGATTTAATTTGTGAAAATATTTATATTTAGAACCTAAATTGCTAAGAGAAACTCTCGGAGTTCAAATTGTCTTTTTATTTTATTGTTTATTTATTTATTGATGGTACTGGGATTCACAGGGCCTCTCATGCTAGTAAGTGCTCTACACTGAGCTATGTTTATTTTGTATTTATTATATATTTATTTATTTTAAATGATGTGACTTGATTCTTTTGTTGTGTTTCGAGACAGGATTTCTCTTTGTAACAGCCCTAGCTGTCCTGGAACTCAATCTGTAGACCAAGCTGGCCTCTTAACTCACAGAGATCCACCTGCCTCTGCCTCCCAAGTACTGGGATTAAAGGCTTGTTCCACTACCACCGCCCGGCTATTATATATTTATTTGAGACAGCCTCACTGTGGTTGACTTGAGTTTAGCTCCTTCTGCCTTAGTGTCTCAGGTAGCTAGGATTATGGATGGGCCTGTGTTCGTTCCTAAGCCTGACTCAGATGTTATCTGTGTCTTGTCTGAAGGTGTCAAGAGACCAGGTTCTGGACAGTGCTGCCATTCAGTTTTGTGCCCGCAAAGTATCTGCTGTTTCCGGAGACATCCGTAAAGCACTGGATGTTTGCAGGTGAGTTATGGCACTGTTGACTGTGTTTATTAAAAAGAAGAAATGCTATCAGTTGTCTCATGGAACTCAAATGAATGTGGCTTAAGAGGCCCCGTTCTGCTACTTTTTATGCTCAGAAAAGAGGACTTGTTTCTCAGTGGGGAGCTCTGGGTTTCCACCGCGTTAATGTCTGAAACATTATCAGTCCATTACCTACGGAGGGGGAAACAAATGAGATGTTGCTGGCGCCCCCTGTGGTGATTATAGATTGGTTAATTACATTTGTATTAAAAAAGACTCCAGTTTGCTTTTCCATTCGCTGGGCTCAAGCAGGTTTATTTATGGACCTGAACCATCTTTGCCTGTAGACTTTCTTCTTCCTTTCCTTTTGTGGGCACCCCTTCCTCCCTCCAGTTGGTGGTCCCCCAAGTCCTACCCTAGACCTCTTTCTCTCCTCCATCCCTCTGCCCCTCCTGCTGGGGAAAGCCTCTGTGCTGACTGATGAAAGTTCTTTCCTCCCAGTAGGGGCACTGGGTCCATTAAAATGATCCTCGCTGTGCTAGCCCGCTGGTCCAACTTCCTCCTATTGCCCTGCCGAAGATCCAGGTCTGCCTTATGGCTTCCCGTGGGCAAAACACTTTAGAGAGGGCAGTGGGAGAGGAAGCGCTTCCTGTTGCTAGATTGCGTGATCTGGAATGTGAAAGTCCCCTAGTCAGCAAGTACTTGAGTAAAGACTACGGCTATGAGTGATAGCCATGTAGGTCAGCAAGATTAGCCCAGATGTGTCCTGTAGAGTCTGTCTGAGGACTCCCCTTGTGGGTCTGTTGTGTGGGAGTGCTGTAAGGCCTCCTCAGTCCACCCCCACACTGCATATCGCTCTGCCCATGACTTTTTTCCTCATCTAAAATGTTACTGGCTTAATGTGTGGCAACCTGCTTGACATCTGTCACAGGAAGATAAGTAGCCTGTCTCTCAAATCCCCGGTCTTTTCATGTTAAAGGCGGTCAAGTCTTCCTGAAGCTGCGACTTAACCCAGTTTGTTTAGGGACCTTAATTTTTATTTTTTCAGCCAGGGTCTCTCTGGGTAACTAACTGGCTCCTCTGGAACTCACTCACTGTGTAGACCAGACTGGCCTCTAAGATTGATTTACATTTTAACTTCATGTATGTATGCCATGTGTGTGGTGCCTGTGCAGGTCAGAAGAATGTCGAATCCCCTGGAGCTGGAGTCACAGGGGTTTGAGAGCTGCCTGGGTGGGTGCTGGGCACCAAACTTGGAAGGGACCTTAATTTTTTAAAAACGTGTTTTTAGTTAATGTGCCTGCTTTGGGGCATGGTCTCTTGGTGTGGTATTTGGTTTGGCTGAGACTAAATTTTAGAAAAAAAAATTTTTTTTATAGGCGAGCTATTGAAATTGTGGAGTCGGACGTCAAAAGCCAGACGGTCCTCAAACCACTGTCTGAAGGTGAGTAGCTTAACCTGCTTCCTGTCGTCATCTATAGATGGAGAGTTAAGTTTCCTGAAGAAAGGGGAAGATAAACAGACACAGTTAAATCCACACACGCACCCGCGAGGGAGCAGGGTGTAGTCTCATCTACTTTATTTCAGTCTTGCCTGCCAGTATCAGTCTGTGTGTCACCTGAAATGAGTTCCCCGGGGTGTTCCTAAATGGTGAGGCTCAGGTAGTAAGGTTTCTTCCAAGGCTCTCAGGTTGAGTCACCTTCTGTCTGGGTACTTACGGTGAGTGCCCTTTAAGTGTTTACGTAGGAGAAAGCAGTGGCCGGTAGGTAAAGCAAAGACAGTCATATTATGGACTGAGCAGATCAGGAGTTCATCTCAGGGTGTCGTGAGGCAGTCTACAAGGGCAGAGGGCAAAGGTCAGTGGCTACAGGAAACCAAACACTGTCACAAACGAGCTTGAATTTCCCTTTTCCGCAACCCTGTTTTCTTCCCTGGCAGATTTTCATCAGTATTTATTTTATTTTTAGTTAGTTAGTTAGTTTTGGTTTTTCACGACAGGGTTTCTCTGGAGCAGCTCTGGCTGTCCTGGAACTCGTCAGTATTTATTGAAAGAAACAATTTAAAGGGTTTCAGAAGTAACCCAAATTAGTGCTTGGGCTGCCAGTAGGCTGTATACACCACTGCGGACTTCGGTCATTTTCTCGTCTCCGCTTTCTAGATTAGTCCTTCCTCACTCCTAGCAGTACCACATAGGCTTGTCAGTGGCCCTGGGAGAACCTAGTGCACACTGCTGACCGAGCCTCAAGGTCCTGGTAACTCCTGGGACTCCCCTAACGCCTGTCTTTTGTGGGGGTCTAGTTTCAACAGCCCAGCTAAATAGAACACTGTGGAGAAAGTGACCAGATAAATATAAGGAACTTTTTTATTGTTTTGTTTTTGGTTTTTGAGACAAGGTTTCTCTGTGTAAAGGAACTTTTGGTTTTTCAAGACAAGGTTTCTCTGCGTAACAGCCCTGGCTGTCCTGAAACTCACTCTGTAGCCCAGGCTGGCCTGGAACTCACTGAAATCACCTGCCTCTGCCTCCTGAGTGCTGGGATTAAAGACGTGCACCACCACCTCCAGGCAGGAACTTTCTAATACATAGAAATAACTAGGTTCCCCAGCACTGAAGATAGGCAAACAAAAATTAGCTGGATGCCAAGCATGGTGGGCCATACCTATGATTCCAGTCCTCGGGAGCCTGAAGTCTTGAGAATCACTACAAGTTCAAGGCCAACAGAAGCTGCATAGAAAGACTCTCTTAAACCGTGGAACAACAAAATGGATAGACGTCCTGTTGGGATTGTTTTAGGAGGGACTTGGTTCTTGTGTAGAGGAAAGAGACTTCCTAGTTCCTTTCATGGGGGAACCTCTGCTGTTCTGTGAGCCCTGCTTTATTAGCCCTTTGCAGCTTCCTGCTTGTGGGTTGTCGTGGGGCAAGTGCAGGCCCAGGGTGTTAGGAAGCAAAACCTGCCTCTATTGCACAGATGTGCTTCTCTAACAGTGGGACCACGGTCCCGTGTGGATTTCCCCAGTTCTCAGACTCCAGCTCTGGGGTGGGTGCTATCTGCTAGGCTGTCTATCCACTGACATTTTCTGCTGTCTTCCAGATCAGTTTGGAGGGGTAAACAAACTTCAGGCTTCATCTAGGGAAGCCATCTGGGGGGCGGGGGCTTCGAGTGGGGTTGACTTCACCGTCGATACTTACCCATTCATTTGACTCACAATGTTAGATAAATTTTCCACCTAGTGCTTCTCCTTCCTTAGCTGCCAGGTCTTTGCTGCAGGGTTTTGTGCTGAGGATCCCACCAGGGGTCTGCACTAGGCAACCTGAGCAGTTAGCCCTACTTGGTGGCTTCTGTCAGGTTCTTGGTAATTCAGAAGGTAGGTCGGTCAGTGGTCTTCTCAACATTAAGCTGTATCCTAAAGGACAAAATAGATCATTATTCTTCTGAGAAAAGCAGCCCTGCTCTCCCAAGTCATCCAGAACTGCCTTTTCCTCCTCTTCTGCCTTGGAGACAGAACCTCCGCTTTGCCATTGTGATCGCACCTGGGTTTCCTTGAGCTAACATCAGCTAACACCAGCATTAATGTGTCTCCGCACACACACAGTTTTAGAGGTTGAACAAAGCTTGGCTTGCTTACGTTGCAGGTCACTCACCCTCTGAGGCACCAGTTCCCAAACGTGTTGGCCTTGCTCACATATCCCAAGTCATTTCGGAAGTGGATGGCAACAGGGTGACTCTGAGCCAAGAAACAACACAAGATTCCCTCCCTCTCCAGCAGAAGATCTTGGTTTGCTCTTTGCTGCTCTTGACCAGGCGGCTGAAAATCAAAGAGGTCACTCTGGGGAAGGTAAGCTGGGGTCTCAGCAGGTGGAGTGGAACGCGGGTCTTTTCCAGGCAATAGGAGTCAAAAATGGGTTTTATCAGTACGAATAAATGTTGGTATTACTGCATTTGGGAGGCAGAGGCATGTGGATCTTTGAAGATTTGAACTAGCCTGATCCTACATAGTTCTAGGCCAACCAGGACTACATAGTAGCCTTAACTAAAAAAAAAGGAAAAAAAAACAGGAGTTAAGGCCAGGCAGCGATGGACCACGTCTTTAATCCCCAAACGGTAGGAGGCAGACACAGGTGAATGAATGTCTCTGAACTCGAGGCCAGTCTAGTCCACATAGTGAGTTCCAGGACAGCCAAGGATATGTAGAAAGACCCTTACCTCACCATCACCACCACCATCCCCCAAAAACTAAGAAACTGAGTGGTTCAATACCTGTGATTCTAGTACTTAGGAGGCAGATCGAAGAGGGTCGCCAGCCAGAACTACAAGCAACCCTTCATTTCTGTGTTCCCCTCTGAACTTGCATAGAGCCTCGTTCCTACAGTTTACATTAAAGCAAATGACTCGGCAGTCCAGAGCAGTTGCTGCTGTGCCTGCGGAGGACCGGGTTCCATTCCCAGCACCCATGTGGTGCCTCACAACAATCTAACTTTAGTTCCAGGGGACCTGACAACTTTTCTGCTCTCCATGGGCATCGGGCATGAATGCGGTGCCCATACGTAAACACATGCCAACAAGACACAGAAAATTAAAGAACATCTTTTACAAGAGAACCCTAAAGTATAGGAAGGGGGAGCGCAGAAGGTGTATTGCCTGTTTGAGGGTTTATTGAAGAGGAGGAAATGGAACATACAGGTAACTTAAGACGGTGTTCCTGGGCTTGTTTTTGCTTTTTCATCTGAGGTTATGAGATGTGACTTTTAAGTGACACTTGTTCCCCCTCATTTCCTCCCAGTTATACGAAGCCTACAGCAGCATCTGTCGCAAACAGCAGGTGGCGGCTGTGGACCAGTCTGAGTCTTTGTCCCTGGCGGGGCTCCTGGAGTCCAGAGGCATTTTGGGATTAAAGAAAAATAAGGAAAGCCGCCTGACCAAGGTACAGGTGACAGCTTATGGTGTCCCTGCTTTTAATTGTCCTGTTCTAGAGAGTGTGTCATTTGCCAGAGTAAAGATTAGAAATGACTAGTGAGCAGTTTGTTTTCCTGCTAGCTGGGGTTTCAGATGAGAGGGAGGGAGTGGTGTGATTTAGGCCATTGAAAACAGCGGGGTTTGACTTGCTGATCCAAGGAATGTGGAATATGACAGGGAGTGTAATGGTGTGTGCGGGCGTGTGTGTGTGTGTGTGTGTGTGTGTGTGTGTGTGTGTGTGTGTGTGTGTGTGTGTATGTGTTCCTCATGAAAAACCCTTCCTCTTTCCAGGTGTCTCTGAAGATTGAAGAAAAGGAAATAGAGCATGTCCTGAAAGGCAAAGCTTTCCTTGGTAATATCCTCGCTGCTGGACTGCCCTGAATGCTTCTCTCACCCCACCTGCAAGTATCCAGCTGACGTTTGGCAGACTGGGGAGTCTCCATTTTAGTGTATGGATTCATTGGCTCATATGTGATGGCATATGCCTGTAATCCCAGCACTTGGGAAATAGAGGCAGAAGGATCAGGAGTTCAAGGCCAGCCTTTGCTACATAGTGAGTTTGAGGCTGGCCTGGACTACATAAGACACTCTAAAAACAAAAGCAACGACCCTTTTAAAGTACTCTTCGCTACCGTTTCCACTTATGCACCTAACCAATGTGCCTGCAAGGATATTTGTGTTGAAGGATTTGTATGTATTATTTCTAAATGCAAACGATATATTTTGTAAAGAACTTGGAGGTTTGAAGATGGAGTGGAATGATCCAGAAAAATGTACAAGCCTACAGGGAAATTTGAAGTCCTTTTGGTCAAAGGACTCTGGCGTTGACTACGTTCCTGCACAGGTACTGCCTCGGACTTTTTAAGGACTTGGGGAGTTTTCCTAGTGCTCCCACGCAATATGGGGGGTGGTAAGGAGAATGTAACTACAGATTGTGAATATATTTATTTTCAGGTTTCATTTTTGGGCTGCATGTGTTATCTTTTGTTACCCGTGTGTGTGTTGGGGACAACTGCAGAAGTCATTGCTCACCTTGCGGATCCCAGGGACTGAGCTCGGGGCACCAAGCATGGCAGCAAGCACCTTCACTTTTGAGCCATGTCGTGGGTCTGCATATGTTGTCTCTAAAAGTAGGGTCATTCAGGGCAGTTCCAGTTTCCGGACAGCCAGAGCTACATAAAGAAACACTGTCTCAAAAAAAAACAAACAAACAATAACCAAAAACAAACCCCAGAAAATGCCTTCTCAGGCCGTACCACAGTCTTAGCTTCCCACAGATGAAGCCGTTGTTTCAATACGGCTCAGGTCAGGCCTGGATTTTCATCTGAACACTTCAGTCTCCTTAGATAAATTTATCCATATGGTCACCGAGACACTGCGGGGTTTGATTTCCAGTGGTTTAAGTGGCAATTTGTGACAGGGACAGCAGAGGGCACCATTATAACACTGCTTTGAAAGTGTGGGACTGGGCAGGGGTGGTTTTGGAGGGAAGGGGCAGGAAGTGGACTTGTTTGGGGAATTGCTATTCCTTTATACCTGAGCAAATGGTCAGCTGTAAACGGTGTGCTAGGGATGGTCTGAACCTTTGCTTTCCTCTGAGAGGCTGCTGCCTCCTTGTCTGATCTGGCCTTGAGTTTGGGAATGTGATATGCGTACAGAAGATCCGCTGGCCACTGTTTCTTTCATTCTGCACACTGTATCCTTGTAAAGTGATCTGCACTACAGCAGGTGGGATGGGATGGGATGGAAGGGCAGTGAGCGCTCTGAAATGCATACTGCCCACTGGTGTGTGTAGCAGAAGAGTCTCGATAGGAGTCTGAATGTCACACACACTCCTTTACTACAGTGTTCATCCCCTCTGGGGCAATGTACAAGTGGAGAGGACGGTTCTCTGCCAAGAAGTTCGGGAAATGTCCGGGACTATAGGGGTTAACAAGCATAATTGTAAAGATTGTCCGAAGACTGATGGAAAGCAGAGACTGAATGGGATTGAGAACAGATGTGAGGCTTGATTTAAATTACATTTTATTGGATGCTGCAGCCTTAAGAGACGTGACTGCTTTACAGTTTGTTTCCACACTGTGGGCAGCTGCTGTCTGTTCTGTGTCCACAGTAGGATCCTGCCCAAAAAGGAGCGGCCTCCCCACCTCGTTGTACTTGAGGCTTGGCGCCTTCCTCTAACTGGGGCTTGAGTCGGGAACATGGCCTGACTCTCGGTGGGACTGTGCTGTATCCTCCCTGGCTTCTGGCCAAGATCACATTTGCAGATTCAAAGGGGCCAAGTTCCTTCCCCTCTCTACCTCTTCTCTTTTCCTCGACATCCCCC